TGGGTGGACTTTCTTAAAGAAGTTACAGATCGGGGCACCTGGGTGGCTCAGTCTGTTAAGCGTCTGCCTTCAGCTCGGGTCATGAGCCCAGGGTCCTGGGATCAAGCCCCAAGTCAGGCAGGGGTCTGCTTCTCCCTCTGCCCCTACGCCTGCTTATGCTCTCTCTCCCTTTGAGATAAGTAGATAAAATCTTTTAAAAATGAAAGAAGTTAGAGATCAGCTGTTTACAACATCAGCACAGATGGAAGTGGAAGAAACATGCTACCAAGGGAGTTGGGTGGTACTACTTACAGGATACGCAGGATCCTGTAATGTTCCCTGTGGAGAGAAGATGAGCAGGCCTGGGGCCTTCAGCAGGGAGCTAGCCGAGAAACCCACTAACCTCTGCCTGGTTTTGTTCCCACCCTTTGGTTGGTTATATGGTGTTATTTTCAGAATTGCACTTTCCTTTACCTGTCATGACTGCTTCCAAAAGTGTGTTTTTATGAACACGAAGTTCTGTGATGGCCTCGTGAGGGTAGAGGGGAGAAAGACTTTTGCTCGATTTTGTACCAAATAAGTACATCAGTATGTTTAATAATAAAAGCTCCGTTGTAGAATTTGTGAAGATGTTATTTTTCTTCCTAGGGTGGTATAATTACTACTTTATCTAACGTGTGTAGCATAGCTTGATTTGGGTTTGAAATCCTGGCTTTCCCCTTTTAGTTAGGATCTTGCGCAGGCTCCGTCAGTTCTGAGGGCCTCCCATTTCCTTATTTATGAAGACAGCTGTATCATTTCCTCATAGTTGGGAAAATTGAGTAAAATAATGTTTGCAAAGCATCTAGCATTGCCATTGGTAGAGGTTATAAAGTGGACCTTAATCTTGACTCTAGCAATATGTGGTCACGTAACTGAATTGGTAATATACCATTTGACCTCAAAATGAGACTAAGTGCGCCTGTGTGGCTCAGGTGGTTAAGCACCTGGCTTCTATTCAGGTTATGATCCCAGGGTCCTGGGATCAAGCCCCAAGTTGGGCGTCCTGCTCAGCAGGGAACCTGCCTGTCCCTCTCCTTTCTCCCTCCGCCCCTCCCTGTGCTCACGTGTGCATTCTCTCTCTCAAATAAATAAAATCTTTATTCAAAAAATCAAAGATGAGACCATTTAAAGGCCTACAGGCTTTGGCCAGCTTAATCAGTTCTGTTTCTTACGGGAGAGCAAACTACCTCGAAGATGTTTTTGACAACTCCAGAACGTAAGCTACGTTTTGAATAAAAGAACTGATTGTGAGGTAAGTTAATGAGGTGTAACATGCAAATAAAAATTCTATAACCACTTTAACTGTGTTTCAGAATGAAACCTACCAGCAGCCATTTGGAAAATGCCCCACCCTCTGGTTTCTAAAAGTGAACAAGTCTGGTTTTGTTTCTGTACGTACAGAATAGTTCCTATCTAGGGAGCTAGATGGTTGTTTAGAAGTCAGTCAACCAGGATGTTTATCTGCAAGTCTGTCCACTCTTGATTATTTTCTGAGAGAAAGGGCACTGGCTAAAAACAGGTTAAAAAATCATATATTTGGGGCGCCTGGGTGGCTCAGTGGGTTAAAGCCTCTGCCTTCGGCTTAGGTCATGATCCCAGGGTCCTGGGATGGAGCCCCACATCTGGCTCTCTGCTCAGCGGGGAGCCTGCTTCCTCCTCTCTCTCTGCCTGCTTCTCTGCCTACTTGTGATCTCTGTCTGCCAAATAAATAAATAAAATCTTAAAAAAAAAATCATATATTTGAGGGGTGCCTCGGCACAGTTGGTTAAGTGTCTAATGTGGTTTTGGCTCAGGTCATGATCTCAGGGTTGTGGGATTGAGCCCCGCATTGGGCTCTGCTCTGCATAGTTGGCTTGGGGTTCTGTCCTCCCTCCCCCTCCCCGCCTCGCGTGATTGCTTGTGCTCTCTCTCAAAATAAATAAATCTCTTTACAAAAACCACACATTTGGGGCGCCCTGGGTGGCTCAGTTGTTAGGTATCTGCCTTTGGCTCAGGTTGTGATCCCGGGGTGCTGGGATCGAGCCCCACATTGGGCTCCTTGCTCAGTGTGAAGCCTGCTTCTCCCTGTCCCACTCTTCCTGTTTGTGTTCTCTCTCTCTCGCTGCGTCTCTCTGTCAAATAAAATTTTTAAAAAACAGTATGATGGGGCGCCTGGGTGGCTTAGTGGGTTAAGCCGCTGCCTTCAGCTCAGGTCATGATCTCGGAGTCCTGGGATCGAGCCCCGCGTCGGGCTCTCTGCTCCACGAGGAGCCTGCTTCCTCCTCTCTCTCTGCCTGCCTCTCTGCCTGCTTGTGATCTCTCTATCAAATAAATAAAATCTTTAAAAAAAAAAAAAAAACAGTATGATTTGAATTTGGAATGCACAATAGGATACGTTCATGCATAGTTGACATCTCTAGTTATCCGACTAGCACTCACAAACGGGCAAGGCAATAGCAGTGATTCTGGGTAGAAGCCTTTTTTCCTTTTGATCTTGAAGCTGATGATTCAGCAATTACAAACTACTTAATAATTCAACAGGTATGTGTTGAATACCTACTGTGGCGGCCCACTGGTCACGCACTAGGAATACAGAGCAAAACAGGAGGTAAAGTCACTGGCGGTGCTGGTCCTGCGTTGCCTGTAGCACAGAGGTGCTCAGCCGTGCGGAATTCCCTGCCGTCCGGGCCTTTACGGCCCCACAGCCATGTGGCTTCTGAGCACAGGCAGGCCTCCTCCTTAGAACGAAACACCAGCCTTCTGGGTGACCACGCCCACCGGGATGTCAAGTACACAGTATTTTCTTTGCGCCTTTATTAAGACCGCAGGAACAGCCCGTGTTCTCAGAAACCCCCCAGGAGCACAGCCAAGCGATGAATCCAGCTTGTTCTGGGGAGAATCTCTAGGTATCCTGCCGCTTTCCTAACCGCGCAGGGAGAAGACTGAGGCACAAGACCGTCAGCTGTAAGCGAGAGGGAGCAGGGGACCACAGCCGGAAGGACTGTCGCTTCCTCAGTCCTGTATTTATTAGACACAAAATAGCAACAAAGGAGAAGAAAAGAAGGTTATACAGTAGCCGTCGTTCTAGCAGGTCAACAAGAAGGAATGTGAGTCATGTTGGTCACAAGACTTAGAGGTCAACGAGGTAAACGAGAAGAGTAAGGTGTGTGGTCCAGCAGCACGGATTTGCAGTTGAGCAAGCAGTTGAGCAAGCAAGCGTGCTGGAAGGGATTAGCTTAACAGCAGGCTTTCTGGGGAGACCACAAAAAAGGGAAGCAGGCAGCCTTCCCAGCTGCTCTGCTTCAAGGACCTTTTTCATCCTCTCCCCCAGAGGCCTGTGGCTGGTACATGTCTTTTCTCAAGGTCATCTTTAAGCATGCTTGCGTGACCAGCACAACTCATTAGTTAAAGTTATTTTGAACAGTATGTTATTCTGAGGGACAGTATCCTGGTGGGAAATTAGGCTCCTTGGTTACCAGTAGTACTTAATCAGCTTTAACTAGAGAAGAGCCAGTAAGAATTAGCATCTGATGTGGAAGAATAAATGGGGGGTTTGTCTTGTTTCTAAGATTTATTTAGTGGCGCCTGGGTGGCTCAGTGGGTTAAAGCCTCTGCCTTTGGCTCAGGTCATAATCCCAGGGTCCTGGGATCGAGCCCCGAATCAGGCTTCCCTGCTTGGTGGGAAGCCTGCTTTTCCCTCTCCGACTCCCTGCTTGTGTTGCCTCTCTCGCTGGTCTGTCAAATAAATAAAACCCTTAAAAGAGAAAGATGGATTTATTTATTTTGGGGAGTGTGCATGCATGTGTGTGAGCAGGGGCAGGGGCAGAGGGAGAGAAATCCTCAAGCAGATTCCCCACTGAGCGCAGAGCCCCATACAGGGCTTGATCCCAGGACCTCGAGATCAGCACCTGAGCCAACATCAGGAGTCAGATGCTTAACCAACTGAACCACCTAGGCGCCCCTGAATAGATGTTTTTTGTTTAAAAAAAAAAAAAAAAAACGTTGAGGAAGGGGTGTCTGGCTGGCTAAGTCAGTGGACCATGAGACTCTTAATCTTGGGGTCGTGAGTTTGGGCCCCACGTTGGGTGTAGAGATTACTTAAAAAAAAAAAACTAACTTGAAAATTCATTTGAGGGAGATTCAGAACTCGATCCACTTTTGAGTCAGCACCTCCAGTTCACGTTCATTTATTCAGCAGTTGTTGACACCTGGTACAGTGTCAGCATGTTCTCTACATCACAAAACATTCAAAAATAGAAATGAGAAAAGATAGGAAAAATAAATATGAAGGGATGAACTAATCTCTTCTGTTTCCCAGTGTACATCTTGTATGTTCCCAGGAGTGTGTGCTCGCCTTGGAGACTACCACCCAGGGGGAACCGCTAGCCCCACTCTAACACCCTCCCCACTGCCCAGTGGCTTAGTCCGGAGTTAAGACAAAAGTGCCCCACGGGCATTGTCTGCCTGTGGTCCCTGCTGCCCCCCACCGACCCCCAAGTCGCTATGATAAGCCACTCACAGTTGTGGTTTTCAAGCATGTTTTCCTTTTCAGCCCAGTTTTCCTAGCTATGAAATTGCTTGCTTCTCTTGCAGCATCGGGACACTCAGAAACACCCTTCTGTAGGAGCTGGTCGCCCTCTCTGGCCCCCTTTTGTGATCTTGCTCAATTTGGTGCCATAATTAAATGCAGATGTGGAAGTGAGAACTGTTGGCATTCTGCACATGAGCTTGGCGCTTGGGGTCCTGTGCCCAGGAGGAACTTTTTTCCATACTTATTGCTTGTCCCAGAGCACACTCTTCCTCAGGGTGCCCCCGTGCAGCTGAGCTGGTCTCTGGAGGCAGGCCTGGGAACTGGCCCGCAGCTTGTACTAGCTGCTTCGGCCTCACCTGGAGTGCTGGGGTGTGGGAGCCAGGAGGCCTAGGAAGGACATACTCAGGTGCACTCCCTCAAATCCTGGAGCTCCAGACTGACAGTCTTTCCATTCCCACGTCAGCCAGAAACTCTGGTTCCCTTTTTATCTATCTCTTGTCCTCTGCTGAGGACAAGAGATAGTGTGCGGTGTGCTTGGTTCTGTGACTGCCTCCATCTAGGAACCAAAACCCTGCCACTTCCAGGAAGTGAGGCCTGTGGTCTCACGGCAAGGAACAGGCCTGGACTGACCTTGGAAGCTGGGTTAGTGTCTGCATAGACCCAGGTTTATCTCCGTCACGCTGGGTGGGGAGGCCTTCCAACCAGTCCACACATGTCTCCACAGTCTACGAGCTCAGTATATTCCAGACACAGAAGGATTCCGTGATTGGGAGACTGTGGAGGTGGGGAAGGAACATAGGCCTCAGACACAGAGCTGCGCTATCTGGGTCAACGGTAACGATGCTAACATTTTTATTGAGTGTTTATTATGTGCCAGGCACTGCACTAGATATTACACCAAGATTATTGCATTTGATCCTTAGAACGATTCTGTGAGGTAGATAACCATTAGTTGTATTTTACAAATGAAGGAACTGAAGATTAGGTTAAAAGAACTTGCTCACAGCCACAGCCCAGATGGTGGTGAGCCCAGATGCTAACCCAGGCCCACGACTAGTCAGCCCTCCTGAAGTACCCCACCACTCAGGCTAGTTTTCTGACCTTAAAATCAGTGCGTTGTCTATCCAGAGAGTTGAGGATTTAGATAATGTTTAAAAAGGGTCTGGCACAGACCTCACTACATGATATCTGTTCCCATTTTTCCAGACACCCACGTGTCATTTTTATTCTATGGTTTTTGAGCAAAAAAATCTTGGATCGTCACGTACAACTATCATGTTCCTTCACAGGCGACCTAGTCCTGCTCTCTCAGAGGCTTAGGGTTCAGTGGCGGAGGAAGAGGGTGAGGGGGTGGCAAACAGAAGAAAAGGCTCTCAGTGCGGGGTGTTCCGGGTTGAGTCCCCTTTACCGAGAGGCAGGAGACGGTGCCACCACCATCAAGGTTGGTGATCTCAGATTCCTCTCTGTACCAACTCATGAGACACGAGCGTTGGGGACTCAGAACTGAACCGAACCCAGCTGCCTCCTCTACACACCAAAGCTCTGAGCTGAGAGAGGCGAGGGCGAGGTGCTGGCCCCAAACAAGCCAGCCCTCGGCGGCAGGAACCTGGAACATGAGGAAAACACTGGAACAATGTCCACCCCTTTTCACGTTGGTCTCCATGAAGCCATTTCCTGTCCACAGTCTGAGTTCAGTGAGCTCTTGTGTGAGGTCTTGTAAAGGCTTGTAACAGTTGACGGTCTCTGATTCCCTGAGACACAGCAGGTAAGAAGCAGGGCTGCTCCAGTATCTAAAGAGTATTCTGAAATTTCTCAACTATCTCTTCATAATCATGTTCGTCATCATCTACAAAAGAGTTCAAGTCAATGATGATCTTTGGCCTTAAGCAGGCTCCTGAGGTCCTTGCTAGATCATAACTACAAATTATTCTGTCTGAACACTGTATAAATACTCCCCTTGCCTGCCTCGGGGGGGCGGGTAGTATGTTGGAGATGAACTCATGTTCCTTGCCAGGACTCCAGAGCCCCTGGGGAAGGAACAATGGGGACCCCTTCTCTCTCTCTTTTTTTAAAGATTTATTTATCTGAGAGAGGGAGAGGGAGGAAGGGAGCACAGGTGGGTGGAGGGGTGGAGGGAGAGGGAGCTGAGCAGGGAGCCTGACACGGGGCTCGATCCCAGCACCCTGGAACCATAACCTGAGCTGAAGCCAGACGCTTAACCGACTGAGCCACCCAGGTGCCCCCAAGCCCATCCTTTAACTTAAAAGCCTCTCTGTCCAACTAGGACTGCAGAAGGTTCTGCTCAAGGGCAGGGCCTTGCCAAGGGATGGCCAGCACGAGCAGGAATAGGGCAAGGAGAGGAAAAGCAAGGACAAGGGTAAGCGGGGGTTAAAAGGGTCCCACCTGGATCCGTGATGGGCTTAGTGTGCCTGAGGCCCTTCCTGTGGGCAGCAACCTTGCTGTACATGCTTGCGCTGTCCTTGGCGCCCTGCGGCAGTGTCTTCATCTTGGCTTTGGGGAGCAGAGGAGCTTGCTGCCATTCTGAGACTTGATAAGACTGAGTGGGAGAAAAAGCAGAAGTCAGCAGGGTCCCAAGAAATGGGGCAGCAGAGTCCATGAAATATAATTTCCTTCCAAGGTCACTTCCTCAGCTCCCCTCTTGACTTCCTGTCCAGGGTAGGGCTTCCTGGGACCCCAAGTGTTTTTGTTTCTAGCGCATGAAATGGTCTTCGGCCGGGGAGACAGGCCAGGATGAGCGACAGAAGGGCTGGGGGCTAGAGACAGGGGTGCCCCAAGTTTCTCCATGGGGGCGGGGTTCAGTCAGCGTCCTTCACCTCTGCTGCTGAAGGGGTGACAAGCAGTCACAAAATCTCAAGACAGACTGCCCGAGCTGAGAGGGGTCCCAGAAGGAGGAGGACTTTTGTTGAACTCCCACTCAGGCCACAGGCACACCTGTTCGTTTCTCCTCAGGGGACCCTCCGAGGGGCTGTTTGAGCTCCCAGTGTACCCATGAGGAAACAGGCTCAGAGAGAGCACGCCATGTCATACCTCACACAGGACCGCAAGCTGGGCCGAGGTTCAGATGCAGAACCATGTCTGTGACCTCAAAAGTTCACGCTTTTTCTAGCCCACTACGCTTCGGAGAGCGCCCCTGCTCAGTGGGGGGAATACTGATGCCCAGAGAAGAAAAGTTGCAGGATCAAGGGCAGTGAGCAGGGACTGGGCCCCAAGTCACTTCCAACAGGAGCAAAGGCGGGGCCCGAGGTCTCAATTTTCTGTGCTGTGTTCGTTCTCTCCCATACTGTCAGGCCTGTGTTCTGTCAGCAACCAACTGCCCTCCCACCTCCACGGATGAAAGCCCCTCCTGCCTCCCCTTGCAGTACAAAATGCAAGTTTCCCCAAAGCCCCCCACAGCAATTTCCTTGCTACACTTTACAATGCGCTTTGGATGTGGTGAGGTGCCCGGGCTGGGCGGTCGGACCCAGCGTCAAACCCCAGGTCGCCCATTTGCTAGCTGTGTGATCTCAGGGCGGCTCATCTCCCGCTCTGTGCCTCTTGTCTGCTCACTGTAGAAAGAGCCCACCTTGCAGGGACATCAGGAGAGCCGTGCGGGGTGAGGCGCGGGCAGTGTCCGCCGCGGAGAAGACACCCAGCAGGCCGCGGCCCAGAAGCCAGCACTGACCTTATCCCCGGGGTCACTGCGAGAAAATGGGAGAGCAGAGGCCACAGAGCGAATGAACTGGGCCATAAGCAGGTCTTTCTGCTTCTGTCCCTGCTTCTTTCTCCATCCCTGGGACTCCGTTTGGGTCAGTTCAGCCCTCACCGACGCTGTCTGCCCCCTGCGAGCAGGTGGGGTCCCTGTCCTCAGACCCCTCACGGCACACTGGAAACTAGGTGTTGTCCCGCCTGCACCACCCCTACCCGCACCAGGCCACGTACCACAGGGCAGGGTGAACACAGAACGGGGAGGGCTGTCACCTCCAGAGGAAGCCTGAGCGGAGCCTTCCCCACTGAAAGGAGGAAGCACATTCTGGCAAAAGGCCCAGCACGTGTTAAAGTGCTGAGGCAGGGATCACGGCGCACTGAGTAGCTGTGGGAGCTTCTCAGCGGCTGAGTGCGGACCAGAGTGGGTGATGGAAGAGGGGTCTGGCAGCGGGAGATTGAAGTCAGCTTATAAAAGACCCTCCCCGGATGGCATGCTAAGGGGTCAACATTACACCCTGGCTGTGGGGAGCCACTGAAGGTTCAGAAGGCTCAGAGGACAGGGCCGAGGCCCATCAGTGACCAGGGAAGGGCTTGGGAGGCCATTCTGACAGCGGTTGGTATGGGAGGGGGGGTTGGAGGCTGCTGACACAGTTTAGGTGACAGCTGATGAACCGGCATGAGGGGATGACAGCAGGTAGAGCACGGTGAAGCCTCACGCTCCCGCTCAGGCCCCCCATGTCTGAACTGGGACTCTGGGCAAGTCTCAGGGTCTCCGAGTCCTCATGGTGTCGCCCATAAAATATGAATCCTCGTACCAGCAGCAGATGGTCAGCACTGAGTAAGAATGATGGGCGCGCGGCGTGTGAGCGTAGAAACTGCAAGCTCTGTACGACAGAGCTGTGACTCAGGACAAGGAACCGGCAGGACCCGCAGTGACCCCGGGCGGGTTCCCCTCCCCACCCGCTTTGGTATGTTGGTACCTGACCACTTTTGTTCTTGCCGCTTTGTTTCTTCTGCCCACTGAGGCCTTGACCTTTGGGGGGCCGCGGTGGGGGAGGCTGGTTCTCCAAGGCCGGTAACTGCCGGAGCGTATAGTAGAAGGCTTCCGTCAGCTCCTCCACGGTGGCGACCGGGGGAGGCCCAGCCGGCTGGACCAGCTGCTGCTCGGTCTCCACGACAGTCAGGTCCAGCCACCGGGGAGGGAGCTCGAAGCATATGTCAGGTTTAGAGTCGAAGCTGACCACCAAGAAGGGTTCCGTGATCTTCTCCTCCAGCCGCAGGCCTGGGAAGGAGGGCAGAGGGTCAGCAGGCTGGCTGCCGTCCTTGGCCACCACCTTGACTTCACAGGGCAGCGAAAACTGGGCAGTCAGGTCTCCCAGGCTGTAGCGCCGATTATCACTCATCTCCTCCACGAAACTACTGGAGATGTAGAGGGGCAGCAGGATCTGGTCTTCATTTTCTATCTCTTCATAATCTTCCTCCTCCTCCTCGTCCTCCTCGGCCTGGTCACTCAGCCGCTGACACACCAAGACATCTATGTCCTGGCCTCCAGCCCCGTGGGCCTGGCCGGGCCTCAGCACCTCCAGCCTGTCACCCACAGCCAGGGACGTGAGCCTAAGGGTCTCTAACCCTTCGACCTCACAGTCCTTTGTGGCCACGACCCGGAGCGGCTGGCCTGGCTGGAGGGCACCCAGGAGGTCACAGGCCGTGAGGAACTCTCTCGGCCGCCGCCGCAGCTTGCCCTGATAAGCCCCGGAGACCATGAAGTGTCTGGGCACCTTCCGGCCCTTGGTCGAGACCAGGATCCGCCAGGGCGGTGAGGCCAGGCCATGGACGCAGAGCTGCTGGCCTTTCTGCAAGGAGCCTGCCCACGGGCTGAGGAAGATGGGGGGCCCCGCCGGAACCTCCAGGATTTCCACGGACAGAGGGAAGGGGCCTCCCCGGGCCAGGGCCTCACTCAGCAGCAGAGGCTGGATAAAGTGGATGTGCTGAGAAGAGGCGGTGACGTCTTCCACATCGACCTCCAGGGTGGAGGGGATCTTGACGACGGTCCTGCGCACTGTGGGGAGGGGAGGTCAGCTCAGGGGGCACCCCGCACACCAGCCCAGGGGTGTCCCTGTACTCGCAGCGAAGAGGTCTCAGCTGACCTCCTCCCTGTCTGTTCCGCCAACCTTTTCCTATGGCATCAGATTCCTTGTTCACTCTTTTCCTTAACCTCTTTTCGAAAGCTATTATAGGAATTTTTATTTTATTTTATTTATTTATTTGACAGAGAGAGAAATCACAAGCAGGCAGACCGACAAGCAGAGAGAGAGAAGGAAGCAGGCTCTCGGCTGAGCAGAGAGCCCGATGTGGGGCTCAATCCCAGGACCCTGGGATCAAGGCCATGAGCCGAAGGCAGAGGCCCAATCCACTGAGCCACCCAGGTGACCCTATTATAGGAATTTTTAAACATTTACAAAAGTACAAGAGTATAGTGAACCCCCTATCAGCTAGCTTCAATATTTAATTCACGGCCCACCCTCTTTCATTCATATCCTGTCTGTTACCCTCCACGGGGTCATTTTGAATCAGAATAATCACATGTCATCTTGACCTTTCAGCATGTATCTCTCAGAGAATAGATGAAGTTAAAAACATAACCATAATGCCATTACTACATCTAGATAATAATTATTTGATAATTCATCAATAACACTAACTATCTAATTTGTCCAACCACTTTTTAAACTTTAATTGAATTTTGAATGTAATTTTATTTTATTTTTTAAATTTATTTATTTGACAGAGATCACAAGTAGTCAGAGAGAGAGGAAGAAGCAGGCTCCCTGCTGAGCAGAGAGCCTGATGCAGAGCTCGATCCCAGGACCCTGGGATCATGACCTGAGCCGAAGGCAGAGGCTTTAACCCACTGAGCCACCCAGGCACCCCTTGAATGTAATTTTATAAGCTACCTTGCCAAATCCTTTCTGCGTTTGTGTGTGTGTGTGTGTGTGTGTGTGTGTGTGTGTGTGTTTTAAGGTTTTATTTATTTATTTATTTGTCAGAGAGCGAGACCAAGAGTGAGAGAGAGAGAGAGAGCACACGCAAATGCACACAAAAGCAGGGGGAGTGGCAGGCAGAAGGAGGCTCCCTGTGCAGCACTTGATCCCAGGACACTGGGATCACAACCTGAGCTGAAGGCAGACATTTAACCAACTGAGCCACCCAGGAGTTCCTCCTTTCTGCATTTTAAATAAAGAGATAAAACCACATCAAGAGGGGCGCCTGGGTGGCTCAGTCAGTTAAATGTCCAACTGTTGATTTCGGCTCAGGTCATGATCTCAGGGTTATGAGATTGTGCCCCGAGTCCAGCTCCGGGCAGCGTGTGGAGCCTGCTTAAGATTCTCTCCCCACGGGTCGCCTGGGTGGCTCAGTGGGTTAAGCCGCTGCCTTCGGCTCAGGTCATGATCTCAGGTTCCTGGGATCGAGTCCCGCATCGGGCTCTCTGCTCAGCAGGGAGCCTGCTTCCCTCTCTCTCTCTCTGCCTGCCTCTCTGTCTAGTTGTGATCTCTCTCTGTCAAATAAATAAATAAATAAATCTTTAAAAAAAAAATATTCTCTCCCCACTTCCAATGCCCCACCCCACTCAGGCACACTCTCTCTCTCCCTAAAAAAAAAAAAGAAAAAATTAAAATTAAAATTAAGAAAAACACCGGTTGGGGCTCCTGAGTGGCTCATTTGGCTGAGCTTCCGACTCTTGGTTTCCACTCAGGTGGTGATCTCAGGGTCATGTGATCAAGCCCCAAGTCTGGCTCCTCACTCAGAGGCGAGTCGGCTCGGGATTCTCTCTCTCCCTCTCCCTCTGCCCCTCCCACTTGTGCACGCTCTCTCTCTCTCTCTCTCTCTCTAAAAAAAGTGAATGAATCTTTATTTTATTTTTTAAAATATTTTATTTATTTATTTGACAGAGAGAGATCACAAGTAGGCAGAGAGGCAGGCAGAGAGAGAGGGGGAAGCAGGCTCCCTTCCGAGCAGAGAGCCCGATGTGGAGCTCGATCCCAGGATGCTGAGATCATGACCTGAGCCAAAGGCAGATGCTCAATACACTGAGCCACCCAGGTGCCCCTGAATCTTGAATAAAAATAAAAATAAAAAACACTGGCTAATGACCTGGCAACTTGTTTCCTCTCTGGACATCAGCGAGTACCAGGTTTATAAATGCAAGAGGCGACTCTGTAAAGCGAATGTCCCTTATGTGTGAGCCATATGGGAGACAAGCGAGGAGCAACCTCCCCCCTCACAGAGGGAGAAACTGAGGCTGGGGTGGGGACAAGCCTCAGGCCACAGTGTTGGGATTTTTGCTCTGTGCGGGGCGAGCCAACGTCTGGTTGAAGCTGGGAGGTAGCCACAGGGGGTTCATTCTACGGTTCTGGTTTTCTTCTTTGAAGGATTTTATGAATTCCCAGAACTGCCTCATCACCCAGGGCAGACGCCGGACCCACCATTCAAAGCCCTGGTCCCCCAGACCGTGCTCTCTGAGTGCTATTTCCCACAAGACGCCAGGGCTCCCTGGGAAAGAGATAACTTCCTGGAGCGGAAACGTGCCACAGTCTGGAACCACTTAAACCAGAAAGCAAGAAAAATGTATTCAAGACCATTGCAGGTGTGTCAAAAGGCTCCCCTGGGGCCAAGGCTGAGATAAGGTGAGCACCAATAATGATGCCAGTGGGTTGGAACACTGAAAATATTGAGTTCACTGAATATTGAAAACACTGAAAATCTGTGAGTTCATAATGATGATTAAAAAAAAAAAAAAGAAACACCCTAAATAATCATCCTTGAAGAATGCTAGGGAGCCAACTCATTTTAAAAACTAGGAAACAGTGGGGGTGGGGGGTGCTCCTGGGAGGCTCAGTGGGTTAAAGCCTCTGCCTTCGGCCCAGGTCATGATCCCAGGGTCCTGGGATCGAGTCCCGAGTCAGGCTCTCTGCTCAGTGGGGAACCTGCTTCCCCCCTCTCTCTCTGTCTGCCTCTCTGCCTACTTGTGATCTCTGTCTGTCAAATAAATAAATAACATCTTAAAAACAACAACAACAACTAGGAAACGGGTGGCCCCTGGGTGGCTCTGTCAGTTTAGCGTCCAATTTGCGGTTTCAGCCCAGGCCATGATCCCAGGGATGTGAGATTGAGCCCTGAGTAAGGCTCTGTGAGGCTCTGCACTCAGCAAGGAGCCTGCTTGAGAGTCTCTCCCTCCCCTTCCACCCCTCCCCAACAAGCACACTCTCTCTCAAATAAATCTTTAAAAACAAAATAAAACCAAAACGAACTAGTAAACAAAGTATACATCTCTTAGGACGTTCCTCCCTATAGGCTGGAGGCAGCGAGCAGAGCAGGGCTCGAGAGCCAGGCAGAACCTGGCCAGGTCCGCCAGAGCAGAGGGAGAATGGTACCCCGGGACCCTGACTTACATAAACACAATGTCCCACTTTTCTCATGCTGGGGTGGTCGGGGCGGGGAGTTGCTTTTTATAGTCGGCTCCTGACTACCAGATGAAGAAGGAGCCCTAGGACTCAAATCACTATTGCAACAGCCACTCACATCACAGATGCCGGCCCAATGCTTTGCATCTGATCGACACCAAGGCTGGTGCTGCAAGTTAGGCTGGGAAAAGACACAGAGAGTGGGGGTGGAGGGGTGGACTCCTTGCCCCACACCTCCTGCAGCCATGAGAACCGCCTCCTGGGTCTGGTCAAACCTCTACAGATGTGTGGCAAAGAGCCAACAGCTGGCCTGAGGCTTTTATCCCTAGAAAAGCCTGCCTACAAGGCTGGTCCTCTGCTGGTGTCTGGGGATGTGGTTTAGCGTGTGTTCCCACCATCCTCTCACTGCTGGGGGTGGTTCCCGTCCTTAGCCTGTACAGTCAGGGATGCCGAACACATGCTCTCTGACTGAGGTCTAGAATTGGGGTGCGTGCTAAGCAGAGGGGACCTACGTGACCAGCCTCCAGTAAAAACCTCGGGCACTGAGTCTATGAGGTTCCCTGACAAATAACAGCTCACACGTGTTGCCACAGTTCAGTGCTAGAGGGACTCCGTGTGTCCTGTGTGACTCCACCAGGAGGCAACTCTTGTGTCCTTTTGCTGCAATAAATCACGGCTGCGAGTACAACCAGATGTCAAGTCCCATGAGGCCAATACAGGGGACAGACACCCACTGGCTCCATCGCAAGGACGCTGTCAACAAAATCCAAATGCGAGACAGCCTGCAGGACAAAGAGCCGAGTCCTTTCAACAGATAAATTATAAGAAAAATAAGAAAGGTGACCCTGTAGAGTAACAGATTTAAAAGGCCTGAAATCAACAGCAATCTTGTGCGTCTTGTCTGGATCCTGCTGTGAACATACTATAGGACAATTTAGGAGACAGGAGAGGAAGTACAAACACCAAATAGTGGTATAAGGAGTTATTGTTAATTTTTTTGGTGTGATGAGGGTATTGTGTGCCTGTTTAAAAAAATTATTTTTAGGAGCACATGGGTGGCTCAGTGGGTTAAGCCTCTGCCTTCGGCTCAGATCATGATCTCAGGATCCTGGGATCGAGCCCCGCATTGGGCTCTTTGCTCAGCCGGGAGGCCTGCTTCCCCCTTTCTCTCTGCCTGCCTCTCTGCCTGCTTGTGATCTCTCTCTCTATATCAAATAAATAAATAAAATCTTTAATAAATTATTGTTTTTAAAGACACACTGAAGTATTTATATGAGAAATGATGGGATACTTGGGGTTTGTTTTGAAATAATCAGGCAGAGTGGGGAGAGACGAAACAGGACAGATAGGTCCTGTAACTGTGATGTCAGGTGACGGGGTCCAGGAGGTCCTCAAACTCTGTCCTCCAGGGAAGAGGCCCCAGGGCACCCGTTCCGCCTCCGCTCCAGCTCGGCCTCCCAGCAGCCATAGTGGCCGGCTTCTACCTGTTTCACCAGCCCTGCTCAGCACGCTGCCCCCAGCCTGCCCTCAGACAGCCGATGAGACAGCTAGGGATTCACCCAATGTCCTTGTCACACAGACGCAGGGGCCCTTGAGGAACAATCTCTTCCTCCCCAGAGGCAGGAAAATCTGTTTCTCCTGAGCAAATGGTCAAGATTTTACTGTGTAGCTGTTGCTTTGTCCTAGTTGCTAGCAAGCTCATAATCCAACTTTTGCCTAATTTTATGAAGAGTGGGACCTCACTCTTAAGTTCCCTCATTTTCCTGTCTCCTTTTAGTAATGCCCCACTATCTGGGACTCTTTATTCTGTTATATTGTATGTACTGGGTAAGCGACCTGGTACTTGGGGTACCTTCCACCTGAGCAGCTTCCCAGGAGCCCCTCTCTCACCCCGTCAACCCTCCCCGCCACAATCCGCCCCAGCGACTCACTGTGCATGATGGCTTGGATCTCATACTGGGGCCTCAGGAGCAGGGACTGCCAAGGGAGTGTGGGGCAGGTGAAGAGGCGGTCGCTCAGGGCTGGATCCTGCAGGGCCTGGAGGAGGGGCCGAGGGGCGCCAGGCTCCCATTCCCAGAAGGGGCCCGTCTGGGACAGGGGCAGGTACAGAGTGAAGTGCTGGGTTTTGGTGTCCAGCACACAGCGGGCATGGTAGGTCCTATGATACTCCTCCACATCCTTGAGCAGGAGGGGCTGGTCCCTGGGCACCACCCTGGCCTCTGTGGTGATTTTGTGTGTCGACATGAAGCCAATGGGCAGCTTCCTGGAGCGCTGGGTTGCAGCAGAGAGCAGCTCCTCCAGGGTTTCGTAGCTCTGAGGGCCGGTGAGGGGGCTGAAGTGGCCTGTGGGGCACAGCAGAGGGTGTCAAGGTGGGACGGGCCCTTGTGGGTCCAGAGACACACATACCAGGCCCCGGTGGGCCACAGAGAACCCAGTCAGAATCCCCCGAAGACAAGTCCCAAGCATATGGACATCCAGGCCGCAGGGTTGAGGGACAAGCAGCAGCCAGTGACCATGTGTAAAGGGACAGTGACAAGTGGAAATGGGGACAGTTCCTCCTTACGCAGAGAAGCAAGAACTTAGAGGGACTGTCATCAGAGACAGAACAGGGATGTGTTTTCCCAAAGACACTGACAATGGCCACCTGTGCCTACCTCCTGAACCGTACCTACCTCCAATTCTGCCAACTTTGCTTCCATGTTCCTCACCACCACTCCAATCCCATATACCCAACACCGATCACCCCATGCTGGGGCAGCGCCACTGTTCCCCTCTCTCACAAACTAGACACCCAGGAGCTCCTAGCCAAATGACCTCTGACCACCACCCTTCACCCCACATCCTGTCTGCCAGTTCTGGTGGCCCAACTGTTCTTCCCCCATCCAACTTCTTCCCCTGTCCCTATTCATTCTTCTCCTGCCACTGTACTGGCCTAAAATAGCCCACATCCAGACATCGCTTCTGGTCCCCTCTGCAAGTTATCCCAAGTTACCCCAAGTTACCTCAAGGCCCCCCCTGTCTGTGTGACAAGGACTTTCTGCAAAGGTACCAGTCTAGACTCTTCAAGAAGCTGATGTCAAGATAAAAGCTAAAGATTTGTTTCAGCCTGAAGGAGATTAAGAAATCAATATGTGATCTGGGGGCACCTGGGGGACTCAGTTGCTTGAGCATCTGATTCTTGATGTCAGCTCAAGGTCGTGAGTTCAAGACCTGTGTTGGGCTCCATGTTCAGTGCGGAGCCTACTTTAAAAAAAAAAAAAAAAAGTGGCTCAGTTGGTTAAGCCTCCGACTCTTGATTTTGACTCAGGTCCTGAACTCAGGATTATGAGATCAAGCCCCACATCAGGCTCTGCAGTGGGTGTGGTGCCTGCTTAAGATTCTCTCCCCACCTTTACCCCCTCCCACCTCACATGCTCTCTCTATCTCTCTCTCTCACCAAAAAAAAAATAAATAATAATAATAATAATAAATAAAAAGGAGAAGGAAATTCCTATTTAAAAAAAAGAAAGAAATTGATGTGATTTGGGATTGGCTTCTGGATCAAGGGGAAACCGACTATAAAGGACATTTATTAGGTCAGTTGTTGGAATCTGAATAGACCAGGTTAGACAGAAGTATTATATCAATATTAAATCTTCTGAATTTGATTACTGAACTACAGTTTATGAACAAATGTCCTTGTACTTAGGAGTAATATTAGTAAATATAAGGAGTAATATTTAGGTATAAAGGGTTATCATGTCTGCAATTCATTCTCAAATATTGCAGGAAAAATATACACATACACATATGGTAATATTTGTTCATGAATGTGTGTGTGTGTGTGTGTGTGTGTGTGTGTGTGTAAAGAGGGAGAAAAAGAAATATAACAAAATATTGGTAAACTGGAAAACAACTGGTCAGTCTGGATAAAAGGTGTACCGTGGTTTTAGCAAGTCTTCTGTGAACTTGAACACATTTCAGAATAAAAAGGAAAAAACCCCAAAATACAAAATAAAGCATACTACTTCCGTATTTAAAACCCTCATTAGCTCTTCAGTGCTCTCAAAGACCAAACTATGCCCGTGGCCACCCAGAGCCCTCTGGGAATCGGCCTCCCACCTCCCTACCACCGCCTGCCTTCACCAGGAACCCAAAACCTTGCCTGTCCCACTCAGGCGATCACAGCTACAAAGAAGGAGCACTCAGACTACACCTGCTCTGGGCTGCGCCCCGTTCTAAGCTCTTCCTGCCAGGCAACTCATTTACTCCTCTCCTCAAGCCTGACTCCCCTGTTCTAGAGTACACTGAGGCACAGAGAGGAGCCAGGAAATGGCTAAGGCCACGGCACACAGCTGGCAGAGTGGGGCTTCCCAACCAGACTTCAGCGTCCCAGCCACCCCCCACCCCCGCCCGCCCAGCTCACGACAAGTGTCCTGCGGGAACCGAGCTCCGTCATTTCTGGAGCACCAGATATGCCCATGCTACTCCCTGTGTTACTCCCTCTGGAAGTCCTCCTTCCTGCTCAGGTGCCACCCCCTCCAGGAAGCCTGCCCAGACTCCTGAGGTGTTCTCCTCCTGCCAGGAACCCTCTCTAAACTCTGTGTCGACTCTTGCCCTCCTCTCGCTGTCACCCTCCCAGGTCATCCTGAGCTCCACACCCCCAGCCCCGAGCACACAACAGGTGTCAGTGAATGTGTGAGCAAACACAGAGACAGGCACATGGACAAAGATCTGGAACAAAGAGAGTCCCAGCCGAGAGGCAGATGTGACCAGAGAGATGGATATGGAGAGGGTGTGGCCACTCCAGGTTAAGGGCATCGTCAGATCCCTCAGAGGACATCGGGGCCTTGGGGCACAGCAGTGGGGGATGTGAGAGCACAGGGGCCAAACTTGAGGGTTGGTAGTGCATGCTGGGGCTGGAGGGGTCCGGTGAACTCAGGGTTGGCGGGGTGGGGGTGGGGGGGTTGTTGGTGGACAGGACACAGAGCTGTCTGCCTTACCACAGAAGTTGGGGGGGATTTCTATGGTCTGTCCTGTTCCTGGGTTCTCGCAGACCACCTTCTGGAGGCGAACCTGGGTGACCTTGATCAGGTCCCCTGTGGAGAGGCAGCACTCGTTCCCAGAGATCTCGTAGATGGAGCCTGCCAAGAGACAGATTCGGTTTCTGTGTGTCACAGGAGCCAAGTGCTAGCTGGCCTGCGCCCTGTTCCCCGACAGGCTGCGCTCTGCCTCCGCTCTGCACCGGTTCCTGCAGCCTGGAGCGGCCTCCCCTGTCCTTCCCTACCCAATGGCCTTTGGCTCAGCCACACTCAGGCCACAGGAACCCTGCCTGTGTCTTCCTTCAGCGATGGATGAACCCTCTGTGAGACACTTCTCTGGCCTTCTCCACACCCCCATGCCTCCTGAAAGGAGCTCACAGGCAGGGCAGGGCTGGTCCACCCCAGCATCACCGGCCCTGATGCAGGCCTCGCCACCAAGCCTGGGCTGAAGTCCTGGGCAAGTAAGCAATGCCCAAAGTCCCAGCTGCCACCGTACAGCTAGGGCCTCGGGCCCAGAGAAGGGCAGAGACTGCCTGGAGGTCACACACACAGCCTGACACCAGCACCAGTGCTTTCTTCTTCACGTGAGCTGTGTTTAAAGGAAACATGGGAGGAAGCGGAGGGCCACTGACAGGGTGGGCACAGGAGGCAGGTGTCTGGGCTGCCACCATCAAGCCAGTAGTCCCACTTAATGATTCTAAAGTGTCTAAAGCAGTGTCCGGAACATAAAAGGTGCTCGATAAAGATCTCCCCTCTCCCCCCGCCCACGGGCTGGACATACTCCGTCTGTGGACTCAGGACCCAACAGCGCATAGAGGTCAGCCTTGAGGCCAGCTGACCCCAGCCCTTCCAAGGCATCCCCAGCAGGGCTTTCAGAAGCTGATGATAATCCCACCTGCATACTGGAAAAATGCACATGGGCTCATAATCTGCAGTTTCATGGGGCGGCCCCGCAGGCCTGGTGTGAACAGCAGCTGGGGCACTGGGCATTGGGCACTGGACTGCCAATATGCTTTGCAGTGAAGACCTCTGGCTGTCCTCTGAGGGAGGACCTGCTCCCCACCCTAAAAATAATGAGCTGCGCCCAGGTGAGGCTGGGTGGTCCAAGGGAGCAGAATAGGGACTCCAGCCCCAGGCGCTTGTCTCTACAGCTGGAAGCCCTCATGACGCAGCTAACTGCTTCGGAGGGTGGGGCCCCTTCCTCTGCCCCAGGACTCCCACCACCTGGCCTCCTCCCCGGTTCTTCTCTCACCAAACGTCCACCACTTCCCACGCCCCGGGTCAGGCAGAATGAGGAAGCAGCAATTGTGACACTTGGTGGTCAGGGGATGATGTCAGCAGGAGCGCAAACACGAGAAGCGCCTGCAGGGAACCCCCAAAGGAAAGTCAGCCTTTGGACCCACATCTGCCAGATTCCCAAGAGTTCCTGGCCAAACCCAGTGGGCGGTGGCCGGTCCTGTCCCCTGTGTGGCCCTCCATATGTCGCCCCGTTGGTCTGGGCTACCCCCCTTGGAGCCTCAGAACACTTCCCCTGGAGCCTGCTGTGGCAAAGCAAGGGAAGAGAAAGAGGGAACAGATGCACAAGGGTACCCCTGCCCTAGTTTGCTTTCTCAGGAAGGAGCCTCTCCCCCTCCACCCAGTCTCCCAAGTTCTCTCTACTTCCGACGTCCCCACTCCTTCACCTCACCCTCTGAGCGGCTTCCCCACCCCTACACCGCCTGTCCGTCTCGCCCTTCTTGCTCCTTCAGGCAGCAGGAGCCGTTGAGCCCCTGCTCTGCACCCATTCCTGAGAACCAGGTAGGCAGATGTGCAGGTGCGCAAGGAGCAGAGAGCCGGGAAGGCTGCTGCGGGGAACAGCGGCGCACGCTGAGAACCGAGCTGAGAGATCAGGTCGCAAAGCTGAGGGCGAAGGTGGGCTGGAAGGACTGAATGAAGGCGCGTAGACAGGCGTCAAGGGGGCGGAGTGGGACGGCAGGCGGAGGAGGGGGCCGACCTGGCGCGAGCCCCTATGTTCCGCTTTCCCACGGTCAGACCTCCCGGGGTGCGCACCGCGGTTTCACCCCCGCTTGGCTCGGTTCCACCCACCTGAGTGTCTAAGCTCATTGACTTACCACCACCCTACGGGCAATCAGCTCTCTCCCATTCCACGAAAGCAAAAGCCGAGGCCCAGAGAGGTTGAGTGTGGCCCCAAGTCACACCTGGGCTTGGGCAGTGGCAGCGTAGCTGGGTTTCCCCGGTTTCCGTCGCCTGGGCAGCGCCCCTGCCCCACCACCCAGCGAGAGCCAGGCAGCGGCGGGGGCGGGGAGTCGCGGCCCCTCACTCACCCTGGAAGTAGACCCCCGAGCAGACCCGCAGCACACGCGGGAGGGAGGCGAGGTCCAAGGCGCAAACGAAGTCGTGCAGCGACACCGGCTCCATGGTCCTCACGGTTCGTTGGACTTAGACTGAGTGGCCGCTGCCCGCTCTCGGAGCCCGCAGCCCCGCCCCGCCCCGCCCCGCCGAGGTGGGCGGGGCCTCTCCATCTCCGGGCGAGGGGACCTTGCGGGTGCCGTCTGACCGCCTCGGTTTCCTCAACCCTAAAATGGGAAGCAGTGCCTACCTCTCACCTTGGCGGCGCGACGTCAAAGGTCTAGATCAGGGCCTGACGCCCAGAGGCTCTGACTAAATGTCCCCTCGTCCCCAATGGTCTGTGATGTATCCCGTGGTGGAGGAGGGGGCGCTGATGGAGATGAAGGAGAAGTCCCAGCTGCTCCCCACCTGCCCCTGTCGTTTCCCAGTTAGAAGGAGGAAACGCGGCCGGCCTGCTGTAGTTCTGGGTCTCACAGAAGACCTGTGCCCTGCACTCTGCGTCCGCGGAGAAGGATGCAGTGTCAGGTCTCCTGATTCCCTCTCCGGGACACTCGCAGTCCTCTACCGACGGGGAGCTCACCACCTTTCCAGGATGCTCATACCTGCTGGACATTTGTAGTTAAAATTTCTTCCTTGGGCTAGAGAGAAATCTGCTTAGGCGAGAGCCCTCTTGCTTGGTATCTAACTTTAAACAAATCACTGACTTCTCAGTTTCAGTTTCCTCATCTGTAAAATAGGGCAAAGAATATTTTCCTAGCTGGTTGTGAGGATTAAATGAGATCATTTAGGTATTGCGCAAAATTATTTCACTTTCTGTTGCCAGAAAAGTAATAGACTTCTAATCAGAAATAATAAAAGGTTTGGGGCGCCCCAGTGGCGCAGTCGATTGAGCCTCCAGCTCTTGGTTTGGGCTGAAGTCATGATCTCCCGTTGGAGAGAGATCTGAGCCCAGCCCGAAGAGGGGGGAGAGGCTTACCTGAGATGCTCTCTCTCCCTCAGCTTCTCCCCCCTGCTCTTTCTCTCACTCTAAAATAAATCTTTTTTTTTTAAGTAATAATAAATGTTTAAAATAAAAGGAATAAACCCTAATTAACCCTAATTAAAGACACTGACAAAAAAGGAATAAACCCTAATAACCCTAATTAAAGACACTGACAAAAAAATGACAAAAATAAAAAAAAATAAAGACACTGACAAAAAGGACATTCTTTACCACTACCCAAATATACTTACTACAAACACTTGGCTGTGTTTCTTTCAACCCTTTATTCTGTTTGTGTGCAGATTTTAAACTTTTTAAAATTTACACTAGAGTTGCAAAAATAGATTTCCCATACATCCCTCAGCTAGTTTTAAATTCCCCTAATGCTATCATCTCACATTACCTGGTCACATTTGTCAAAACTAAGAAACCAACATTGCTACATTAATGTTAACTAAATTGTAGACTTTATTTGGATTTTATCTGCTTTTTCTCTGATGTACTTTTCTGTTCCAGAATCTCACCCAGGAGTCCGTATTGCATTTAATCTTCATGTCTCCTGTGTGTGACCCGTTCTCAACCTTTCCCAGTTCTTCTTTTAAGCTTGACAGTCTTGAGAAGAACAGGTCAGGCATTTTGCAGAATGCCCCTCAAATGGGATTTTTTCTGATGCCCTCCTCATGATTAGACTGGGGCTTTGGTTTTTCCGGGGGGATACTACCAAGGTGATACGCCCTTCTCATCACTGCCTCTCCTAGGGGGCACATGACATGGGCACAGGACTTTTCACTGTGACGTTAACCCTGACGGCTTAGTTAAGGCGGTGTTTCTGGGTTTCTCCACTGGAAACGCTATTTCCACCATTCATACTCCAGTCCTTGGAAACAAGTCGCTAAGTGCAGCCCACCGTTAGGGAAAGCTAAGCCCCACTTCCCAGAGTGAGGAACATCCCAATAAATTATTGGGAGTCCTCTGTAAGAAAGATGTGTCTCTTCTCCCCCATTTATCTATTTATTCTGTTATTTATTTACATCAGTATGGAGTCATGGGTATTTACTTTACACCTTGACTTATAATCAATACTACATTATTTCTGTTGTTGCTCAAATCGTTCCAGCCTGGGGAGTTCCTTTGGGTTGGCACCGGGGTCACTTGGCCATGCCCTCCTGGTTTTGCATTCTCAGCCCTTCCTTACTGTCTAATGCTACAAGATGCTTCAGGCTCATCTGGTCTTTTTTCTGCCCCAGCCCCGCATGCAGCCATTTCTCCCAGAAGCCTGGTTCCTTTTATTGGAGAATGGCATTTGGAACCCACAATCTGTCGCAGAGTACACCATGCCACGGGGTTGCCTCTTAGTTTTGTCTTTTTCTTTCTTTGCATAAACATTACAGATGCGCTGCACACCCCATGACCCAGCTGACATCAGGTCCCGCCTTGACCTTCAAGGAGAGGTTCCTGAGTGATAACACTCAACAGAAAACTTTAAAATCCTCCCTTTCCTGGGGCACCTGGGTGGCTCAGTGGGTTAAACCTCTGCCTTCAGTTCAGGTCATGGTCTTGGGGTCCTGCGATCGAGGGAGCCTGCTTCTCTCTCTCTCTGCCTGCCTCTCTGCTTCCTTGTGATCTCTTTCTCTGTCAAATAAATGAATAAAATCTTTTTAAAAATTTTTTTAAAGATTTTATTTATTTAATTGACAGACACAGATCACAAGTAGGCAGAGAGGCAGGCAGAGAGAGAGAGGGAAGCAGGCTCCCCGCTGAGCAGAGAGCCCTATGCGGGGCTCTATCCCAGGACCCTGGGATCATGACCCAAGCTGAAGGCAGAGGCTTTAACCCACTGAGCCCACCCAGGTGCCCCTAAATGAATAAAATCTTAAAAGAAAAAAAAAAATCCTTCCTTTCCTTTGCCTTTATCTTTTCCCAGATTCCTGGGCACAGAAGTGGACCTACCAGATTAGCAGGCAAAAGCCTGTTACAATACAACACATTGAAACATTTCCTTGCCATTACAATTTTGCAGTTTTATATTTATATGTGTAATTGTTTATTTAATGTCTCCTCAGCAATTAGTCAGTTAGCTTCTGGAGGCGCCTGGATGGCTCAGTGGGTACAGCATGCAACTGTTAATCAGAGTCACGAGTTCGAGCCCCACATTGGGTGTGGGGCCTACTTAAAATAAAATAGAAAAAAAATTTTTTTTAATCCAGAACTTAAAAAAAAAGACCGTTGTCTTCTCGTGGTCAGAGGTTGGAGTAGCAGTCTGCTTTGTTCCCCAGTATAGTCCCAGCATATCACAGGGCCTGGCAAACAGTAGATGCTCAATAAACTACTGTTGTTAATGACTCACTGAATGAATGCGTGGAAAATGTTTCCTTGAGATAGATCCCCAAAGTGGAATTTCTGGGTCAAATGGTATGCTGGTGTTTGTAGCTTCTGTAGGCATATTTGTCATGCTGAAAGGTTGTTGAGCCTCCAATGGACCCAATAAGAAAAGGAAGGACTCTTGCAAGAGCTGAGAGGAGAGGTACACAGGTATGCCAGGGACCATGGGGCCACAGGCCAGGGAGGAGGATATGTGAAGCAGAGGGGCCATTTCTATGTTTCCAGAAACACTGGCAGGTGTGATTCTGTGGGCACCTACTCTGAGCAGGCTCAGTACAAACGTATGTTCAGTTATGCCTCCCCACAAGCAAGACAGACAGACATCATCATTCCCATTTCACAGGTGAGAAAACTGAGGCTCAGAAGAGGCTCAGAAAAGTATTGCCTGAGATCATGCAACAAGAAAGTGGAGGAAGCTAGGAACTTTCTTTTTAAGTTTTTATTTATTCATTTAAGTGATCTCTATACCCAGTGTGGTGCTCAGACTCACAACCCCAAGACCAAGAGCTGTGTGCTCTACCACCGAGCTGGCCAGGTGCCCCGAGGAGCCGAGGGCTTCTGAGGCAGGCTGGAGGAAACAGTGACAATTACTCATCTCTTCCCCAGAGGTTTCAGGGGACCAAGCAAGTCTGACAGATTTCTGCTCGGTTCGGGTTGGCCTAGAATTGCAG